TAAAGACACCCTTTAAGTACTATGCGTAAATAAGATACAAAGTTGTCCATTTAAGGGTACTGCCCCACCCCAGTGACAAGCTGTTTTAGCACTTTTTTTTCTGACATGGTTGGGTAAATAACAGGGACAATTTGGCTCAACAAACTAGAAAATGTGTGTTTTTGTTAAGCTAACATTTGGAAACTAAAATTTCAACTTGTTCTGAATGTGCTGAGGACCAAGGGCCCTAGTTATCAGTTTGTACTATTTATCTGTGGCCTTAGGATTTGGAGGCCCTCACCCTATTTGCCCTGTTCATAATGCACCCGCTAAAACATGAATTTTGAAATACACTACTGGGTGATAAAACAAAAAATCACGTTTTGAATCAAATTCATACTGATGCTGTTTTTCTGCAAGATGTCAGCAGGCCTGCTATTTGAAAATTAGAGGGTATGCAGTGTTGAAAACGTGCTGTTTTGCACTTCATGTCCTGAGAATGAAAACATCCCCCTGTCAAACTTACAAAGCGTCAATATGACGACTGTGATGCAAAGGTGGTGAACGATAGGACACTTGTGGAAGATCTCAAATTTTAAGCAGGTCACAACATTTTGTGTACGTGCGAGGAAGGAAGCGCTAGTCGCAAAGAAGGGGAAGCACCGAGCTTAGCTGTTTACGTAAAACTCTGAAGTGGAGTGCATGCGCAGTTGCGCACGCAGCGTTCATAGCCACAGGAAATTACAGTGCACGCGCTTGTTGCCAAGGTAACCAACTTAAAAGAAAACAAGATGTGGTTGAGGGGTGCCCTCAAATAGACCAAAAGCGTCCCAAAACACAATGACCTGCAGCATGTCTTTTTTCCATTTACCTAAGCATAAACAAGTGTAATAATGAAACTCAAGAGATATTTTAGCTGCTTTGCTCCAGTCATAATGGCAAAAGCTTTCAAGATCATTTTGTATACACTGACATTACTTTGACTTACTTTGGTAATCTGAGGGTTACACAGTTCATGCTATTGGGTTCAGAGGGTTCCAACTCTAAATCCTGGTGAGCTGCCTTTCTGTCAACCGTAAACTTTGGCAGAGTTTAATTCCAGCATGCTGCTAAAATAATAAAGTTACTTTAATGATCATAAAAAATACAGAGATACACACATATTGGGTTAAATTGTATTTTTCATCATTTTAAAATGATTCTTTATTCTAAAACAGTATTATTTTACCATTCTTTTACAGTCCTTTGCACATCTGCTGTTTTAAAAAATGTTCGAAGAAGTTTAACTTTTTAAAAAAAACTTTCTAGACATTTCATTTTTGTGTCTCTTCATATCACATTTTTGACATGAGCTTAATGGCATAAAACATGGCGTTCTAAACACGTGGAACTCAAGCTAAAATTTCACGTTGAGTTTGATATTATGGGTTGTTTTAACCCAATTTTGGGTCAAATATTGACAAACCCAGCAGTTGGGTTAAATTTATGAATTGCATTTTTTATCCAACAATTGGGTTTACCCATATTTGACCCAAACCCAGCATTTTTTTTTGAGCGTAGCATTTTACTAAACTAACGGCATAATGCTCTAATAAGCATAAAAATACATGGCACACACGTCATTTTATAGTATGCAACCAATTCAAAGAGCATTATGGGAGATTCAATTTGCCATTGATTTCGATACACTCTAAAAATGCTGGGTTGTTTCAACCCAAATTTGGGTCAAATATAGACAAACCCAAATGTTGGGTTAAAATGCAATTTAAAAAATGCACAGTTGAAAGTGAAATTTGAAATTACATTTTGAAACCAATATTTGGGTTTGTCCATATTTTACCCAAATTTGGGTTCAAACAACCCAGCATTGTTTAGAGTGTAGATTTCAATTTGATGCTACCATGATGCTAAGCTAACACATTGCCATTATAATAAACAAACATAGCACAAAACAGTACATTTTGTCAAATTTGCTCATTTTTGGCAAAAAAAAAGTTTTTACTTTTTTAGTATTGAATGATTTTCAAGTAGGCCTATGTTTACAATTACATTTCTCACTTCGTCCGCCATTTTGGATTAAGTTGCCAGCCTTTCAGAACACCCTTTGTGTTTTTAAAATGCTCACTATGTTTGAGAACAATGCTAGTGCCTCATACATTTCTTTAAAATGGGAAGCACAATTAAACAACCAGATTGTCACCTGACAATTCTGTCTTGTTTATTCGTTTTCTATTGCTGCTCCTTTTCAGATTTTTTTACTGAAGTTGTACCGAATACAAATGTGTTTAAACATCTGAGGTTTGACATTGATCAAGATTGAGTAAGAACCTGAGTCACTCAAGCACAGTTTTTTTTTTCTTTTTTTTTCTTTCTGGAGTTTCCTAATTCTGTTGCTCCCAGGAAATATTCCAAAAGGAACGGAAATGGGAGGAGACAGAACAAAGGGAGGGACATACAGGAAAGAGAGACCAGGAGATGCGCTTGCCAAAAACTCCAATCCAAATAATTTTACTCTAAATATACAGGCCAAGCTGTGTTTCATAGATCTCGAGTTTGTTGTCTGCACTCTTAAAATTTGCTATAGAAATAATAAGCAGCAGCTGTTTGATACCTGAACCCATAACTGACCCCAAGCCCCAGCTGGAGTTTCGTGTTCGCTGTCTTTTTAAGTGTTTCCGGGACTAAGCCCCGCCCAGCTCAGTGTTTTTCCCTAGTAGTTGGATGATTGGATCAGCCTGTTCTGTCTTGCCTGTTTTACGTCAAAGCACCACGAGTTAAGGAGTGCCCTGACTCATGCTCTCACACACTCATTCCTGAATAGTGTGAACCAACATACTTGTGAACCACAAAGCATACTTGAGAACACACTCACCTCTACTGTAAATTTTAACCTACAACAGAATTTGATTACAGTTGTGAACACAGTTAAGACTGTCAGACACGTTTACAGACTGGAACAATCCCATTAATTTCTATAATGACACTTACATGTTCGAGTCATTCATGCTAAATGTTAGCTTCCTGTTGGTTTACATCCAAACCAGTTTGAATACGGCCCTGAGAATATCAGGGAAACTCTCTCTCTCTCTGTGTGTGTGTGTGTGTGTGTGTGTCAGTGTTAGATGAATCAGTATTATCACAAGATTCAAAATGACATTTAATATCAGCACTTCACGAGTGGGCGTGCAAGAATACTGTTTTTAGCAATATGTGATGAAATAATAGATTTTAGAAAAAAACAACAACATCTATAGCTTGATATATAGGCTACCGAATCTGAATTTAATTTCAACAAGGCCAGAAACAATTAATAAATTGCTCCCCGCAACCCAAAACATGATTTCAAACTGCTGAATCACCCTGAAAAACAGCGAGAGAGATAAAAATGAGTGACACCAAACAAGTGAACTGTTGATGGGAAGACTAATGTCACATATCGGCTAATTCACAGGAAATGGGATGAACAGCTTGTCAGTGATAAATCACTTCTAATTGATACATTCCAATCATTTGTTTAGGCACATGAGACGAAGAACTGACTTTGGACCTTTTCAGACAAGTATAAACCAACACAAACTAGTTTAAAAGTAAAAACAGGCCAAGACAACCACAAATCAGTCGCCTCAGACCAGCAGCGTCAGAAGAACGTCATTAGCATCAACTGAAACCAACTCAAAAGCAGCACAGAATCGTTATGAAATGTCCTGTACTGTATGTACTGTAAGTACATATGAACGCATGATTATGAGACTTGTAAAACATTCTAGAAATCCCTCCTCTAAAAACAGTCTAGAAATCCCTTTTGTTTATCACAGAAATAGTCCATCTGGGATAATAAGACTTTACAAATGTGCTCAAAATCATTTATTTGAAGCTGTGAGGTATTGCTAGAAGGGCAAGGTAATGTGACAGGAAATGCATGAGAGTATCAGCTGTACTGTGCTGACACTCCAGCACGTAAACAAGAGAAACATTACAGCTGATGACTCTTGTCATAAGTAAAGCCTCTCAGACAGATACTGATGTGGTTTAGGAAAGCCTGTGGATTTATATCTGCATTTTTGCAGTGTGAACATGCTAACATGAAGATGGGTTTGTGAAAAGTCACAATTAACTGACTCTGAAATACATGTTATTAGATTGCAACAACACGAGTTCAGACAAGTTATTAAAAAAAGTTAAAGTTTGCTTATTGTGAAAGACCTTATAAGAGCCAAGAAGTGAGGTACTTATCCTGAGGCGCCCTCCACTGGCCACATGGAGGTTTTTTTTTATGTGTGTATAATTGACGTCAGAGATGTAATCACCTGACCTAAGATATATTCTAAAGGACACGTCCGCCAATAACAATTGTGATTGTACGCTGATATAATTCACAGGTCCTGTCACACACAAAAAAAGAACTAAATAAATAAACCGTTTGTGTGTGTATATATACAAGTCCATTTTTATATCATTTTATATTTAGATATTTTATAAATGTCTTTTTCATCTCTACTTCCTTACATGCAGTACAAATATATTTATATTAATAGAGACGATTAAAGGAGTTCACTTTTAAAAAAAAAACTTTTGGTTATAATTTACTCACCCCCATGTCATCCAAGATGTCCATGTCTTTATTTCTTCAGTCGAAAAGAAATTACGGTTTTTGATGAAAACATTCCAGGATTTTCTCCATATAATGGACTTTAATGGGAACCAAACGGTTCAAGGTCCAAATGAGAGTTTCAGTGCAAACTGTTCAAAGGGCTTTAAACGACACCAGATGATGAATAAAGGTCTTATTTAGCGAAACGATTGGCCATTTAAAAAAATAAATAATAAAGTTTTAAGTTTTATAAACACAAATGCTCGCCTTGCTCTGTAATCTATGATTTAGCTTTTTTTAACATTAAAACTCATGGAGAGCTATTTCATTCAAAGTTTTCGATGAGATTTCATAAAAATCAGAGGAACTTCTCTCACCGTCACATGAGGGAATAAGAAAAAAATAGGAACAAAATAAAAAAAACAGAAGATCATCAGAGATGTACACGTTTATTAACACAGCATCTGCTCTGTATTCTGTCTGAAAAATTAAATTTTAACTGTCCTTACATCCAACTGGAAAACATATGCAAACAAAGCATATGCTTTTCTTACAAAAAAAAAAAAAGAAGAAAAAAGATAATAAACATTACAAAGAACACAACAGGTTGCAGGGGATTCTTAAGCCTTAAATACAAAGGCCAAAGATATCTGATGTCTACCAGCCCAAAGATAACTGAAAGAAGACAAACAATGACACAGACAAATATATTTCTCTATATATGTGTGTAAATAAAGCTATCAAGAAGAGAGAGTTTACATTCTGTGGTCCAGCTACAGGACCAGATTCTGAGTCACTATGATGGATTGGTGGCAGAAGCTTCAAACCAGAAACATTGAACCTCTACAAACAGGACAAACCACCCAGTAACCCAAAAATTACCATTCTGGACTGGTCAAGCAGCAGTAAAAAAGTCATCACACAAAGCGAAGTCACAATTAAAAGCATTTCAGGCCTCAATACACTTATAGAAAAGGCTTCATTTGTTTTGAGGTTACTGCATTTTGACTTGTTCACAAATTGTTCAAAAGTAACAGTTCTGCAGCGTGGTTTGATTTGAAGGAAATGTTTATGCCAGTCTGCAGTTAATCTCGCTAGATAATAATTACTATGACAACAATACGATAAAACGGTAAAACACAAAGACAGCTCACTGTCACTGATCGTTTCTCTCTTTGCATTCATTCGGTGCTGGTGTTTTGTTTGTTTTTTGGTTAGTCGGACTGCACTGCACACTGCTCAAATCATGTGACAAAGGCCAGAAGCATTTGAACGTATCTGTATTGCAGCTGGGAACAATGTTTTTTAATTTAAAAATCAAAACCTGTCCCATGAATCACTATTCTCTAATGGGGAATACAAGAAACAACAACAAAAAAAACATAATACTGCCACCTGCTGGTTCAGCTATGCCACACCTTTGTTAATTTAATAATCTATTATCTAGGAATGAGCTTATTCTTAGATGAAACACACTAAATGCTGTCCCATCATTAAAGTTAACTTGCTTTCTTTCCCTTGATTTCCAAAGCTCGCTTTAAGTTAAATGTACCCACATTTGGGGGTAAAGACCCATTAAGAAAGCTTGCCTGATTTTAGAATTTTTTTGAAATAAACTAAAACGCGAGTTCTTGTGAAATAGCCGCAGTTCTTTTTATTGCAGTGGGCCTCTGAAGGACCAGCAGATCTGCAAGATTGGATCTGACTGAGGTTTGACATCAGCTCCAGCAATTTAGATGGTCTGAACTTTTTGGAAATGGTATTGACAGAGAACGAATGAACGAGGACACAGAAGAAACGCCAGTGTCACCTTTGGCATACACACAAAAGGATGGGGGGGAAAAAAAGGATGAAAAGAAGACTACTCGTGTCCTCCCCCTATTAGGTACAGCAGATTTGTGTGTTCAGCATGTATTATGAGCTCACCTCCTGTGCAGCTCCATCCAAAACCATCACTGATAAACTGCAAAATTCCATATGATTGAGATACATACACACAAAAATTTCCCTTACTTACTGCAGCAATAACAGTCTTTTGGATTCTCTTTTACCTGTATATAACGTCTAGGTAGCAACACCTGAATTGTGAGGCCCTGAGGTTTTAAACGGACACACGTTTATTAGATTGTGTGTAAGAGTGTAAATAGAGGGAGACGACAGCAGTTTGGCAGAGAAAAGCCTCTATATCTCTTCCCCAGAAACACTTGGGAGAGAGTAAGATGGGCTCAGCTGAGAGAGACAGGTCCAGCTGAGAATGTGTGTGTGTGTGTGTCTCTTTTCCCACCAATAGCCTGCAGATGGAGGGATAGAGAAAGAGATGGAACGAAAGACAGGGCATCAGTGGAAATAGCTGCGGTAACAGACATAAGCACCTGCAGCCAGGACCGTGCACATACACACAGTGGCCATCAGGGGGCTCCACGCTCCACTGGCGGGAGCAGGAACAGCCTCTGTGGTGGGAGTCTTGAGCAGAGACCGCGCAGGTTTGGGAGGGGCTTCTCTTGGAACGATTGGGTCGTTGAGTTGTTCGCTTGACTGCGGCGTCGCTCCAACCTCAGCAGCTGCGACCATCCGTCTGCGTAGGTCGGGCCCGTCTGTGAACGTCTGGGGTGCACTGGGAAAACAGCAACAAAAAATGTTTGAATGTTGCTGCTGGGTGTGGATGGGCACAATCAGAGAGAATATGTTGGGAGTAGATTAAAGATATTGACCGGCTGACCTGTTTGCGCAGGTTTCTGCACTGTTTTTTATGATCTCAGTGAAGAAGTGTGTGGGGTCAGAGTTCACCAGGTCGTCTTTGCCGTTAGGAGGATCTATTGGGGGCCGTGGCCTGGGAGGAGGAGTGAATTCAGGGGGGAGATCCTCCTCATTTGATAACTCCTTCCAAGACACCTACTCACACATGAATACAAATTCTTCACTGATCAATACAGCCTACCAGAAGTGGGCGGTATGAACAAAATGTTACATATGACGGTAAAAGTATTTTTTGACATTAAAGGTAGGCCTATATCATATGATGATGTAAGTCGCTTTCAGTTATATGATTTAAAATGATTTTTTGATGATTCATTTTTAATGGTAAAAATAAATCTTTCAAATTAATGCAGAAAAAAGTACACTAACATTCAAAGTTTGAGGTCAACATTTTTTTTTAAGGATTTAAAAAATTGTCAGGTTAATTTTTTTTTAAATTAACAAGGATGCTTTAAAGATTTAGTTCACTCAAACATGAAAATTCTGTAATTTATTCACCCTCATGTCATTCAAAAAAACCATAAGGTTTTCGTTCATCTTCATAACAAATATTAAGATATTTTTAATAAAATTTGAGAGCTTTATGTCCCTCAAGTTAAAGTCTATTCATCCAAAACTGCTTCGAAAGTTATACAATGTAAAATAATTCCATTTGAATCAAGCTCTAGTCTTCTGAAGAGACACTTTATGTGATGAACAGATTGAATTTAGGCTTTTCACATATAAACATGATCAGCAAAACATAAACAGAGGCTCAACTGTCCTTGCTTGATGAGCAAGAATGAACCTCATTGGTTCTTGCACTTGCTTGATCTTCCGTGACCAAATTTGAAAGCTTTATGCATGTTCGCTGATCAAGGTTTATTTGTAAATAAAAACCTAAATTAAATCTCTTTTGAAGCCTTATTGAACCACTCGATTCATGGATATCTTCTAAAAATCTTCATTTGTTTCAAAGATAAACAAGCCTTAAATTATGTAAATGATAACAGTAAATTATTACATAATTCTCATTTTTAGGTGATCTAATCCTTTAAATTGATTAAAAGTGACAGTCAATACATGACATTTTCTATTTCTTTTGAAGTTTATATTTAAAGAATCCTGATAGGGAAAAAAACTCTTTTCACAAACATATTAAACAGAGCAACTGTTTTCAACAGATAATAATAAGAAATGTTTCTTGAGCAGCAAATCAGCATATTATAATGATTTCTGAAGGATCATGTAACACTGAAGACTGGAGTAATAATGCTGAAAATTCAGCTTCGCCATCATAGGAATAAATTACATTTTAAAATATTTAGATTCTAAAAAAATGGAGATGTTATTTTAAATGGTAATAATATTTGACAGTATAACTTTTTATAGTAATTTTACCAAATAAAGGTATCCTTGGAGAGCACAAAAGTGACATTTAAAAACATTCTAAAATGATTTTACAACCCAACATTTTTGAATGTTAGTGCATCTATCAGCTCTACACCCTCAGCAAAGAGTCCAGAAACGAAACATTTCAGAACACCAAGTTCAAACATTTCAAATATGTGGGTTTCTTTAACATCCCATAGCATTACCTGTACAGACGTGTCTCCCATGATGTACTTGGCACCCTCAATGACAGCGAGGTAAGAGAAACGCAGCTGATCAGCTGTCTGGATCAGACCCATGCGGTATCGTCGCATTTCCAGCAATACCTCCTGGATGCGTACTGATGATGGATCTTCCCTCTGAGACATCTGAGAACACACAATAGTAGTTGTTTAAAGGATGTGTGTGTTTATTAGTATTACTAGTTGTTTACGGAATACTTGAGGGTTGCATTTCAGTTTATTAGTACTGTATATAATATTTAGAAAATAATTACACTACTTTTCAAATATTTGGGGTCAATATTCAAGATAAGGGACAAAAACACCTCTGTATGTCTTTTAGATTTATATCATTCAATATAGTTAATATCTTTTTCTCAAAATATCAGCATATTTCCAAATGTGAGATTGATTTATACAGTAGTTCAATAAACAAGAAGTTAATATTAGGTGAATTACATTTTTGACACATTATTGCCTGTTTTTGTTCTATTTCACCAATGAAAATAGTTCCAAAAAAAGCCCCAGGACTGTTTTGCGCCTCTGCAGGTTAAATGCATTCATGTGGCCTCTGAGCTCTGAGCAGTCTGTGTAAAAGCATCTAAATGCCACTTCAATTTTTTTTTTTCAACATTCATGAATTTTGTTGATACTGATTTAATTTGATTGATAACAGCCCAATATAAAGTCCTATTCTATCCATCTAACTGAATTTACTGATTAAATGTAAGTGTTTGACACAAAAGATGTTACAGACAAGCCACGTGACCACAGAGTCGCTATGTCCCGTATCTACCACTATTAATGCACTACCATAAGAATTAAACATCTAAAATGCTTTAAATAATCTTTAAATGCAATATGGTGATTTAAATTATGTTTGTGATTTCTCTTTGAAGAGAGCGGCTCCGATTGTAAATTTGTTTGTCGTATAAAGCCATCGTGTCTCTTCAGAAAACTTGAGTTTGGATTAGACCAATCTATTGATTATATTTATGATGCCTTTATGATCTATTTGGATCTTTTAAGTTTTCGGGAATGGACTTAAAATAGACGGAAATCTCTCAAGTTTCATATCTTCATTTATGTTTGAAAGATGAACGAAAATGGTTTAAAAACGACATGAGGGTATTTACGATGACAGAATGTTACATTTTTGAATTAATTATACTTTTTTTAAAAAAAACAGTAAGCTGAGTGTTGGATAAAACTAACTCTATTTCGTGGATCATTTCGTTTATATCACCCACAGTTATCATCACATATTTATGTCGCAACACCCCTAGTAACAATTAATCTTTAACGTCAATTTTGATCAATATAATGCTTCCTTTGCTGAATAAAAGTACTGTACTGGCCCCAAAATATTAAATGATAGGGTATTATTAGTGCCATTATTTTTTGTTTTTATTGAGTACCATTATTCATGAAATTTCACTAGGATAACGCAATCTGTCAAATGCACAAGGGTCATTGTCATGACTCAAAAGAATTTTTGAATAATATATATTAGTTTATATGCTATGAGTATACTCTTTTATTTAAAAAGTTAAACATACAAAAAGCAATTTCGTTTGGCAAATATGGCATCTCTCACCAGTAGAAGGCAGGTGTCTACAAGGCAGAACGTTCCAGAACGGCCAATGCCAGCGCTGCAGTGGACCACGACAGGGCCGTGATCTGGACTCAGACAGCCCGACTCGCGCACTTTCATCAGGAAGTTGAGAAACGACGCAGGCGACTCTGGCACGCCGAAATCTGGCCATGTGGTGTAGTGGAAATGAAGAATCTCCCGTGTTTCCTGTGTCTTTAAACACACATGACACAACATTAATCATGATGAGTGTGTGTTTGTCTGAACTGAGCCTCTAGCATCTGTAGTATCCTGAGAGCGTTGAGTCAAGTCAACAAGCCGTCCAGCTATAAAGAACATTGCATTAATCATTTTTTTTTTTTTTGGAAAACAAAAATTTGGCCAAATGGAAGTAAAATACCGGAATAAGCACTACATAAAATCTCAGTTAAAAATAGCAGAATGATAAGTGAAAGAGATTGACAGATGAGCAAAAGCATGACTGGATGAGATGAAGTGTCTCACCAACAGATTTTCCAGCTCCAACTCTCGTACTGTGTAGTACGATTTGACATCCTCTGAGATCAGAGTAAGTCTGAAGTTTGTGTCCTCAAATTCAGCCTCCCTCTCTTCTCGCTGAGGCCAGTACTGAGCACACTTTACCTGCACAACACACACACAGTAAAAGCTTACAACACAAGCTTCACATACACACTCCATATGCATGGTAGAAGTGTTTCAGGCAGGTAACCAAAGTGAGCGTGTACGGTAGAAAGATACAGGTTCAGTGCGTTCCTCTCACCGAGCCTTTCTCTATAACGCGATTCAGCATCACGACCCCTCGGCAGCGCTGCTCCCACACCATCTCCCAGAAGTGACCACAGGTGTTTGGTAACGGACCCTAAATACAAACACAACTTTTAAAACAAGCATTACCGGTGTACTGTATTAATAATACATTTTAAAAACAAAAATACCATGAATGTGTCCTGCAACAGAGTTTATAAGACTAAACAGCAGCATAACCATTCAGTAATATTTTGAAATGCTATTACAATTTAATGTCATGTGATACAGTATATGTTACAATGTAATGCATTCCTGATGGCAAAGCTACATTTTCAGCATTATTACTCCAGTCTTCAGTGTCACATGATCCTTTACAAATCATTACATTTATAATATGCTGATTTGGTGCTCAAGAATCATTTCTTATTATCATCAATGTTAAAAACATTTGTGTGGATTAATTTTTTTGTGGAAACCGTGATACAGGTTTCTCTTTATTCAAAGTTATTCTTTGAATAAAAAGTTCAAAAGAATAGCATTTATTTTATTTATTTTTTAAATTATTAAAAATTAACACTATATATGTCTTAACTGTCACTTTTGATCAATGTAATGCACCATCGCTAAATAAAAAAAAATAATGATTTCTTAAAAAAAAAAAAAAAAAAAAAAAAAAACAACTTACTGACCTTAAAGTTTTGAACATTATGTGAGACAGAAAAATCCAGGCTTGACATGTTTGGTGAACACGCCTGTAGTTACTAAATTTAAAATTATAATAAATGTATTTGAGACTATTCATTTTGCTTATAGTGAAAACTCATTCATCATGACCTTAAGTTTCAGTAAACCCCACATTTGAGCAGTCAATTTTACATGACATTTTTGGTGGGAATGTGTGCTTGTTTTGTGTGTTTGTGCTTGTAGCAGGCAATGCTCTGACTGAACAAGGCTTGCAAGTTGAGACAAGTCTGGGTCTCAGAGCATCAGTGTGCTAATTTATCTGTATACCGGTAATAAGGAAACCTGTCCCGCTGACTCAACTCAAGATTTCACAACATTTCCCAGTGTTCTCTCCAGATACAGAAGCGGGAAAATCACTCTGGTAGATGCCATGAGCGTCAAAATGTAATGTCTCTGCAGTATATCAGTGTGTGACGTTGGCTGGGGTATTGGCGGCCTAAGGGACACGTCATCAACGCAAATGTCGAAACCCGGATTTGGGGGGGTGGGGGGGGGGGTGACAGGAAGTTCCCCCATTACTTGCTTACCTATCATTGTTTTAGTGTAGCAATGCAGTGTTTCCTAACCTTTTTGTCTTATGTATCACAAAAGAACCATTTGAAGGTTACTTTTTGTTACTTTTACTCATATTATACAGTATCATTTAGCACTATTATTTTATAACTCATTTAGTTTGAAATTTTGTTATGTTAGCAATTTTAATAGTAACCCACCAAATAAAACTTTTGGTTTTTTTTTAAATGTTGTCATGGGCACAGTGAATTTTAGTGATGAGGCCATGAAACGAATAGTGTTCGCTATTGCAAAAGTCTATTAATGCAATAAACATTTTATGTAAGTAATAAGGGAGGCTAGGGATGTATCGGGAATAAGTCACGGCCGTGAACTCCACATATGTTAGGGGTGTTATGTAGTGAATGTGATACATAGAACCGTTGGGTGAAGCGATCAGAATCAAGGACTGGGACTGTTTTATAATTTTAATGAATGAAGGCTGTTAATGTGTCAAAATAAACATATGCATCAATGTGACAGATTTTTTTAAAAGGAAAGGTGTTCTTAGGGATGCTCCTATAAATAGGGCTGGGCGATAAAAGTTATCATATTGAGATCGCCATTAAAATGTATATGGATAACGATGATAAACTCATGGATATTTTTACTCTATATGGATTAATCTAACAGCCTATTATACAGCAGAAAAAACACAACAACCAGTCAGTGCATGCCGCTAATAAGTGATCTCTGTGTTTCTGTGTGAATGAACAACGTGGATCTTCACGACAAGCAGTCAAAACAAAAGTATACTAAAATGAACTTCTCAAAAAGGAATATTATTATTATTTTTAAGGTATATCACACAACCAAGTTTTTTTTCCCATCCAAGTTTTAAATGTATACAGTTCTGTTGTGCAGCATCTTATTTGCCAAATAATAAAAATGTAATGTTTTGTTGTAAATAATTTGTTATATTTTAATTTGATTACATTTTAAAAGACTGATTAAGTTGTTAAAGTTTACATATATTTGTATTAAGTCATAAAATGCAGAATCCCACAGAACACAGAAACAAGACGCTGCTGACGTGTAATCCGTCGCTTTCCACAGGATATTTGTCCCTATTACTGTTAATAAAGTCTTCAGTGCTTTTGTCAGATGTCATGCAGGTGCAAACACAGCATCAGTTTCCTCAGCAGATGCAAATGTGGGGTGTAAGTGTCAGTAGGTCACCTGAGTTAGTATGTAGTTCCTCTGAGCTTCATCCACTGAGATCAGACTGGCATTGATGTAGTCATTATTGCCGATCTGTAGATGAATACGGCTGTGATCAACTGTGAAAAGAGAGCGAGATTAAGCTGTGCACCCATGATGCTTTGCAAATTCAGCGGTGGAACGGTTCTTTTTCAGGTCCTGTTCTCAGTTCCCCACAAGAAACAAAAACATCTTCCTGATGAAAACACCCAATTGAAACAGATAAAACACACAGGCATTTATTTAATGTGGTGTTTTGTGAGCTGAGGACCTTTTCAGGTTGTTGTGGAAAAAGACTCAGAGAAAGAGAAAGAGGAAACCGCAACAGTGTCGCTCTTTGTGACGGAAGAGTTAAAAAAGGGAGAAGAAAAAAAGACATGACATCTTCAGTGTGAAATGACTTTAACAGCTCGCTGATAACAGGCCCCTTCCGTTAGGTGTCAGTCACTGTGTCGAACAGGGGAAGAGGCGCACTTACATGGGCTGACGTCTCTGTAGCGATTACGACTTCTGTTTTCTGGAAGTTTGGCGATCTTGCATGGTAGGTCACTGGACTGCTGCCTAATCTCCTACAGTAAAACAGAAGTCTATGTGATGAAAATGCTTCAATCTGTTAGTGAAACAAATATGTGGCAAACGATTTGCTGGGAGAAACTATATGGCACAAGGTTATGAGGGACCACCAGCATCCAGTTTAGGATGCCATTCATTCATCACTGTTATTAAAAAACTGCAAGTGAGTCAGAGAAGTAGATAAAGGTGGCAATCCAACTAATAACAGACTTCCACTCATAAAAGACGACCTCATTCCCACCATATCTATTTTTGTCTCCGTTTAAAAATGACAAATTCAGGTCATCTCATTAACTTGTCAAATCGGGGTTTTTTTTCTGAGTTAAGCAGCGCAATCTGATCTGTCAAAAATAAACATCAAATCAAATAAACAAAACAAAATTGTTTTGGGTTGTTATGAATATTTACAGCATCATAGTCAGAATAGTGACTCCAGAATCTGTTCTTTACCTGGTAAACGGCGTTCCAGTTCCCGAGCTCATCGATTTCCCGAAACTCGGCTTCCATTGCCGCGTGTGTTCCGCGACGCTCGATAGATGGCTCCCTGACAATACAATTAATTATAAAGTTGATATCGAATTACATAGAATTAAATTATTTTTTAAGTCTGCTTTAATTTTCTTACAGAACGGTTCTGATAGTACTGTTGTGTCGCCCTTACCGGAAACACGCTGCTCGCTCCTCCCGCAGCACGGCTCTCCGCTCTGCGTCGTGAAAACGCCCCTCTTTCCTCACAATAACCAATGAAAGACTGCCAGTGTCCGGGAAACTTGAGTAAAGGCCAATCAGCGCAAAGTAGTGGGGCATGGCAACCACTTTGGCCAATCATACTACGGAGAGTTACCGCTTGCTTTATTCTTCTGGGCTCTGTAGTTTTTTGTAGATCGGGGAGTTTACGGAACAATACGCATGTGTGTGTAATGACATTTAGAAAAGTGCATTAAGTAAAATTGATCATATATTTACAACCCAGGTCTCTCACACCAAAGGCATGTGTCTCATCCACTGCGCATACTGGATGTTTTTCCCTTTTCACACCATTCTTTGTAAACCCTAGAAATGGTTGTGCGTGAAAATCCCAGTAACTGAGCAGATTGTGAAAAACAACCATGCCACGCTCAAAATTGCTTAAATCACATTTCTTTCCCATTCTGACATTCAGTTTGGAGTTCAGTAGATTGTCTTGACCAGGACCACACCCCTAAATGCATTGAAACAACTGCCAAATGATTGGTTGATTAGATAATTGCATTAATCGGAAATTGTATGTAGTGTATAATATAGGTTTTTATTGTATTGTTGTATTTCCCATTATTTTCCTATGACCATAGGCAGAGATGGGCAGTTTTTTAATCAGCCTACATGTATTTGAAAAACATATTCCTTTATACTTATATTATATTAAATTATATTATTATAATTTATAAATTATATTATATTATTAATTATTCATAATTTATAATAATATAATGTATAATAATTATTTATAATTTATAATATTTAATAATATAATATTATTATAAATTATATTATATTATTAAATTATATTATTATTATATTAAAAACATATTACTAATATTACTTTTAAGTATTTTATAATTTGTATTTTCCTTAAAAATAAATGAAATGTAATTTGTAAATAAATATTTTTAGGGACTGTAATTTGTATTTAAAATAGTTATTTAAATATATCACATGTATTTTCATTGACCCTATATTCTCATTTGGAAAGATGGTAATATCCAAAATCCTTGAGACTTTTTTCTTTTCTTTTTTTTCTGTTTCACACAAAATCGATGTTTTTTTAAAAAGTAAAAATGCAGAAAGTTTTCTGTGATGGGTAGGTTTAGGGGTAGGGGTATATATAAAAATATGATGTCCTCATATGGAAACCCAATGTGTGTGTGTGTGTGTGTGTGTGTGTGTGTGTGTGTGTGTGTGTGTGTGTGTGTGTGTTCACTTAGCAAGTGCCACAAACAAGCTTTGTGCCATGTGTGACTGTTTTTCCCAAACCAATTAGTGTAAAAATAAATAATTAAAAATATAATATAAAAATATAATATAAAAATAAAAAATTGTCTTAAATTGTCTAGTTCATCTCTCAACGTCTTTTCCCAATAATCACAGATTAATATAATTCGTTATATTTATTTTGAGGAATTAAATACTCTCCAAAAGGCACAATCTCCTGTCAAGTATCTAATGAATACTAATAAATAAGAAGTATCAAATAAATAAATACTAGTATGTAATACATAAATATCTATGCCCCACGCATAATGTTATAAAGTAGCCTGTTATATAAAAAATGACAGCAAGTCCTATAATGAATAACTATTAATATATAAAATGTGTAGGCCTACTAATTGGAATATAGCCTACTAGTCAAAACTGAATAGTTGACATGACAGATCCCTATAGAATAAAATAGGCTAATGAAAATTAGGCCTAATAATAGAATAGTTACTCACTATATTGAAATAAGTAGTATCTAATGAATAAGAATGAAACAAATAAGTAATAGTGTCTGTTTAATAGGAAGACTAGTAGTATCGAATACTAGTAGCCTAAATAAATAAATAAAAACTAACGTTAATATCTAATAAATAAGTTAGTAAATCTCTGAAAAAGGTACTAGAAACTAGCGTAGCTAATGAATAGGTACTTTTAGCAAATGGAATAGATACTACTAAAAAATAAGTATTAATAGCATAAAAATAGATTGGCCTACTAGTATTTAAGGATTAAATGTTAAACCGCTTGGGTCAAACCGGTTACGGTGTTACGTGTTCTTCTCCCTTTGACAGATAGAGAGTGCATCCACTACACTGTCTCCGCGTGTTGAAAGCGTGTCACTGTGTATCAGACTGTAGTCTATATGTTTATTGGTTATTTTGTGTTATAAATTTGCTACTGAACTGAACCGACAGGTTCTACAGGTTTATAGAGGCTCATAGCGACCGGACGGCAAGCTGCTGCTGTAAAACTCCCATGAACTGACTGACAGCTTGTCCAGCTAGGTAACGTATGAACACTGATCTGTTATATTATCGCCTGGTCTAAAATAATAATAATCTGCTAACTGTGTTGAAAGCAGCCTTGTGTTATGTAAATAATTATCAAATCAGATAATAGGGAAGTGCTTTAGCATGCAGGCTAACGTTAATGTTTTCTGGTTCGACTAACCTGATTCAGGTCATAACTACGATGTTACACGCAGTATAATACTGCGTAGCATACATAACACTGCCACACATAATACAGAAACAAACACGTTGCGCAGAACGTTTCTAGACGCGAGGATTCGAAAATTTGTGGGGTTTCTTCTGTTTTGTCTTTTAATTTTTGATTTTTCGTTTGGTTAGCCTGTAAGCATGCTAACTTAACAGGATGTAAACCTTTGACGGTTATGGAAAACTGGACCAGCCTGTAAAGCCTGACCAGATCAGAGCAGAAAAACATAGACCATTAGTACGACACTAATTAATACAGTTCCAGTTAAAACCGATTTTAAGTCTTGAAATTGATTATACTGAGTCAAATCAGTATCATAATTTAACTCAAGTCCCCAACCAGGAATTAGTATTTGGCTTTTGCACAGTACGTTGTTCATTTATTATGTCATGTAGCTTACCTCAGCTGGATTAATTAATTATTGATAAGCCAATAATTGACTATTTTGAACCCTATGATAAGTTTTGACTACATCTATGGACCTAATCTTTGCATTTTGACATTAATTTAGGTCAAAACTCTCTAATCTCTGCATTTTATATGTCATCATCAGACTTGGATTGTAAACTGTTGGACAAGGTAGAAACTCTGGGGAGTTTTAGGTTTGTCTCCCCATGACAACGTGTCACCATGGTGACTGCGGCTCCAACAGTGATGCCGAGCGGCGCACCTCTGATGATGAGAAAATGGAGAACGTGGAGCCCACTGAGATTGGGCCGCTGTTGACAACTTCAACTAAAGCAGAGAAATCCAGAGTGAGTAGCAGGGTAGAAAAAAAACCTACCAGTCAAAAGTTTAGGGTCAGTAAGATATTTTGGTTGCACTTTATTTTACAGTTCTGTTCCCCAATGTACGTGTTATTGTTTTTACAATAACTGGGTAATAACTACCGGTAGGTACTAACCCTGAGGCTGAACCTAACCTTAACCCTTGTAGTTTCCTCATATTAAACAATGCTTTCCTGGGCAAGTACACTGTAAGTACTGTACTGTATTGTACTGTAATATAGCAAAGACGCATTAAGGGGTCATGAACTGGCTTTTTAAATATTATTATATTGTTGTCTGAGGTCAACTTATGACGTTCGCTTGGTTTTTGCGATCAAAAACATCAAAATGACTGAGTAATAGGCTATTTTGTACCCGAGTTTTTAGCCTACCTGAAAAACACTTTTTATGGGCGTCTCGCACTGAAGACTTGGAAGTAAACGCCCCCTGCTGTGAGTGAATAGCAGTTTTGCATATTATAATGAGTTTCAACTCACCCGTCGATGTTTTGAAAACCCGTTTTGAAAACGTCCAATGTTGTAAAATGGCAACCGGAATGATTCGACCCAGAGTCTGTGTGTTGCACAATTCCTGTCAGATTCAATATATACGGCACACCACCGTATGATGACCTCTTAGATGTCAAAAGCTCAAGGAACATTTGAATTCTCAGTTCATTGCCCCTTTAAATCGATCAAAAGTGACATTTTAATGTTAAGATTTCTATTTCAAATAAATGCTGTGGTTTTCTGCTTTCTATTTATCAAAGAATCTCAAAATTCAGCTTTGCCTTCACCGGAATAAATTACATGTTATTTTATTACAATTTATAATCGTATTTTATAATATCTCACTGAGCATAAGAGACTTTCAAAAACAAATCGTACTGACCTCAGACTTTTGAACAGTAGTGTACATTTAATAGATAGAACGAGGCAACAACACCTACATTTAACTAAAAGCATGATTGTTTTGTTTTAGAGTGCATCTGCGTTTCCTGATGAGGATGAAGAGGAAGAAGAAAGTTTGCGGGTGGTTACACTGCCCATGCAGGCGCACCATGCCATGGAGAAAATGGAGGAGTTTGTACACAAGGTGATGTTCATCTTTAAATGTCCCAAAAGCGTTACTTTTGTGATTGTAATGTAAATGTGGCCTATTTCCTGTATGAGATGTTTGTATTAAAGTAAACTCTTACCATTACTAGGTATGGGAAGGACGTTGGCGAGTAATTCCATACCATCTCCTCCCCGATTGGCTGAAGGACAATGATTACCTGCTGCATGGACACCGCCCACCCATGCCGTCCTTCCGTGCCTGTTTTGGGAGCATCTTTAGGATTCACACAGAAACTGGAAATATCTGGACACACCTGTTGGGTCTGTACTTATGATATTTGACATTGTGACATAATAATGAAAAAAAAACGGAAAACATAAGTCAAGTCAAGTCACATTTATTTATATAGCGCTTTTTACAATACAGATTGTATCAAAGCAGCTTCACAGTGGTAACATGAAAATAATACAACACAGATCAATAATATTGTTGAATATTAAATGTCCCCAACTGAGCAAGCCAAAAGCAAGGCAACAAACATAACAATCATCTCTTGAAAAGAGATTTTAATCAAACTCACAGACATGTCAAGCAACCACCACCAAATTGTCTTTTTCTTTCTGTTATAAAACTATTTTGCTGAGGAATTATTTACATTCTAATGTTCAAAAGTTTGGGGTCAATAAGATTTTTTATATGTTTTGAAATAAGTCTCTTAAAGGGATAGTTCACTTTGAAATACATTTTTGATATGCTTTAGCTTACCTCAAGGGCATCCAAAATGTTGGTGTCTTTGTTTCCACAGTATTTTTAATTTTGATATTTTTAGGTCAAACCGTTCTTGTCTGTCAGTCATATAATGGAGGTCTATGGGGAGAGAAGTCCAAATTAAACATGATTTAATGACTCGTAAATGTAAGTACACATTGATGGCCTAAGACACGAAACGAGCGGTTTACATTTACATTTACAAGTCATTAAATCATGTTTAATTTGGACTTCTCTGTGCATGCTTTTTAAGGTGGACCCCATAGACCTCCATTATATGACTGACAGACATCAATAGTTTGACCTAAAAATATCAAAATTGAAAATACTGTGGAAAATTAATTTCAAAGTGAACTATCCCTTTAATGCTCTCACCAAGACTGAATTTATTCTATCAAATTACAGTAAAAACAACAATATTATAAAATGTTTTTTTAAAACATTGTACAAATTATAAATATGTATAAAATTAATCTGATGGCAAAATTGAATTTTTAGCATCATTACTCCAGTCCTTAGTGTTACATGATCCTTCAGAAATAACTTTACTATGCTGATATGCTGCTCATGCAACATTTGTATTCATTTGACATTTAATTAATTTCAGGGCATTTTTAAGAATAGAAAGTTCTTATTTGTAATATAACATTTTTGTAATATAATAAAAGTCTTTACTGTCATTTCTGATCAATTTAATGTGTTCTTGCTGGAAAAAAAAAAATCTTACTGACCACAAACTTGAACACTTGTGCATCTCTTATTACCCCAGTGGCCTTTTAAGAAGGACTTTCCACAACATCTGGAACTTAGAAGATACATTTTATGATATTTGTAATGTGACAATCTGATATGTGTGAATCATTGCCCTGAGGATGACAGAAAAACACATACACCACATTGATATTTAATGTCAGTCAAACCTGTAATTATGTTGCTGGTGAGTCATTTTGGAGTCTAATTAATTCTATCACAATGCCTCCCTACAGGCCTAATTCTGTTCCTGTGCTTGGGCACTTTAACAATGCTGCGGCCGAATGTGTCATTCATGGCGCCCGTGCAGGAGAAGGTGGTTTTGGGGATGTTCTTCCTGGGTGCAGTGCTTTGTTTGTGCTTCTCATGGCTTTTTCACACCGTCTACTGCCACTCTGAAAAGGTCTCCAGAACTTTCTCCAAGTAAGTGACACCGGTTCTTATGTTCTATGTGTGTAGACATATTATGTGTATGCATCACCTTCAGTAACTGCAGTGTAATTTTTGACGCCCTTAGGTTGGATTACTCCGGTATCGCTTTGTTGATTATGGGCTCATTCGTTCCGTGGCTGTACTACTCGTTTTACTGCTCTCCTCAGCCACGGCTAATCTATCTATCTGTGGTATGTGTGCTGGGCGTCGCTGCCATCATAGTTGCCCAGGTTGACCGATTCGCCACCCCTCGTCACCGGTGCACACGTGCAGGTAACACGCTCACCTGTTCCTCAAAAATAGTCCACCTTTATGATTGATTTGAGTTGTTTGATAAAACATTTCCCCATCTTCAGGTGTTTTCCTGGGCCTCGGTCTGAGTGGGCTCATTCCCACAATGCACTTTACCATCACAGAGGGTTTTGTAAAGGCAACGACAGTGGGTCAGATGGGCTGGTTCTATCTGATGGGTGCCATGTATGTCAGTGGAGCAGGACTGTATGCAGCACGGATACCAGAACGCTACTTTCCTGGAAGATGTGACATCTGGGTAAGACTCAAGGGAATTTTTGTTGTAGTATTGTAGAGAAGCCTAATAGCTAATGTTCATGCAAGTATACTCATGGTCTCGATCTGTTTTACTTTATCAGTTTCAGTCTCATCAGATATTCCATGTCCTGGTTGTCGCAGCGGCATTTGTCCATTTTTATGGAATCTCAAACCTGCAGGAATTCCGCTATGGTCTGGAAGGAGGCTGTACAGATGACACTCTGCTGTAAAAAAAAATAAATAAATAAATAATCGCTTGAACTTTGGTCGGTGCCTGCTCACGTCACAATGAACCTGGACCCGACATAATAATGATTTAAAGATTTGTATTATCTCTGAGGAATTTTAACATGCAGTATATTGAAATAAGATTTTTATTTGTTAAGATACTTATAATTATTGATAAATGAGGTAGTCTTGTGTTTATATTGTTCTTTACTGTTTCAGTACAGCACATAATTTAATGTAAATCACTGGATTGAGTCATAAAACATTACAGAGGTCTTCAGAGACACTACCTCCTTCAACACTTCTTTTCGGACAATTTTCTGATCTACTGAGTGGTTTTTCATCTAACGTTTGTTTTACTGATTCGTGGTTCTGTACTTTGTAAGAAATTTAGGGAAGACGCACACATGAATATGCTTAGTTCTTGGTTTCCTCAAACATGTTTGCATGATCATTTATTAACTTTTGACCTGAAATGACCCAGAGCTTCAGCAATGGGATTCACATTGGGACACATGCAATTTAACTTTTGTTTGAGTGAATCAGCGTTTCAGTCCAAAATACTTGTTTGGTTTTGGAAATCATAGAAATCAAGATACAAAAAGAGAATAATAAAGATGAAACACCAATAATTGCTTGCTTTGATCATTAATAATCTTTTTTTTTTTTAAGTATGCTGTCCTTTTGGCATTTGAAAGAGGATTTTGTGTTATACACACATGACTTTTTAAAGTAGGTTTGTGGTTGAATGATATACTATTTATTAATATTTTGAATAGCTTTTTTATACTTTAATTTTAGTTTTAGTAATATTGTTATGTGCTTTTGCCATTTTAAATTTTACATTTATTCATTTAGCTGATGCTTTTATTCAAAGCGACTTACAATTATATGTCAGAGGTTGCACGCCTCTGGAGCAACTAAGGGTTAAGTATCTTGCTCAGGGACACATTGGTGTCTCAGTGGATTCGAACTTGGGTCTCTCACACCAAAGGCATGTGTCTGGGCATTTTGAGCGGGAATTTTGATTAGTTTTTTTTTTTTTCTTTATAGCTTTCATTAGTCTTTTCTGCATCATTTTTTTTAATTTAGTCATTTAAATTTCAGGTAATTTTAGTTCATTGCCAATGCAACATTTCTAATTTGTTTTTATGTTTTTGTTCTAATAGTTATATTTTATTTTATTTCAGCTTAATTTCAATTACAAAAAAACATTTGTAATAGTTTTATTTAACAATAACATCACTAAAAGTATAAATTTGATTTTCTATTGTAATCTATTTCCTATTTTATTAATGAAAATACTTACCCAAAACTAGCACCACTGTCATTTAAGTCCAACTTGAACTAAAAATCACCATTAGCCATCTTATAGCAAAATAGTCTGTTTGTCAAAATATTTAATGACAACTTTTCACTTAAAATTATTACATACTGAGAGCTTTTCAGTTTGTAGCCCAAACTGCAATTTATAGCGTTTTATTATAAAATTATGTTGTTTTTTGTTATCAAATGAAGGTCACAATGTGTAGCGATTTGAGATGGCATTATTATTACGAAACGCGCGAGCACAAATTTTAGTGCGCACAGCCTCTGAAAGCGCACGCGCGCTGGTGACGTCGCAGTGTTTTGCTGGGGATGCGCGCACACGTGAGCAGTGAGAGTTCTTCTCATTGCTGGAGTAAAATCTGAGTAAAATAGATTCAATTCTCACCTGCGAGGGTCTCCCTGTTAGGGGTGCCAGCAGATGTCCAAATAAACTGCCGTGTGCTGTCATCCAATCCGTTCTGTATCTGTTCTGCTGTGGATCAGCTGTACGCTGTGAGTTCACTTAAAGATGTTTATGTGTGGGTTAGCATCCGTTTTTGGTTAGCCTTAGCATGTAGCCTCATATCACCTCAGTGAAACTTAAACTCTCACCTGATTTACACCAACACTTTCAGATGAATTTTACGAGGAAAATATTAAATACGAAGAACAGATTCCTGTTTCCCGTCTGTTGTAAAACAGGCGTAATGTCCCTCAGCCTACAGCTAGATTTTCTACAATATTTCATTGTTTATATATTTACATGGTTGTATCGTTATGTTTCAGAATGTCCCTTTCTTTTTAAGATGCTGCTGAAATGATTAATGTAACTATCTAAAGGATGCGTAGTGATCCGTTTCATTGAGACTGCTTCTATTTAGACACTGATCTTTTTGGTTAAAGTTCATCCTTTTTAAATCGAACTTTCTCAACAAATTTCAATATACAGCCTTCACGTTTTATGGGAAAATACTAAATACTAGTTTCCTTGTTAAAAAAAAATGGACATGAACGCCCACTCAAGTCAAAATTTGAATGTGACGAGCTCGTAATCACGACTTCAGAAGTGGAAAGTAGGAATTTTCCGATAGCACGTGAAGGCAGCATATACAAAAATTGACACAAATGGTATGAGGCTATCCAATAATTATAATGCTTTCATCGTTTACTCACCCTCATATCTTTCCAAACCCCTGTCTTTCGAAACTTTATTCTATTTTTATTGAACTAAGATATTTTGAAGATAGTTGGAAATCAAACAGTTTTGTAAGTTCCCAATGAAAGTTAGTGGAAACCAAAACTGTTTGGTTACCAGAATTGTTCAAAATATCTTCCTTTATGTGCCACATAAGAAAGAAAGTATGAGTTTGAATAATGTGTGTATATGGGATCAGCTGTGTTGTTTTTGAGTGGTCACTGATTGGTGTGTCCTGCAGAAATCATCATCCTGCAGTGCCTGAGGCTTTGTCACTCCACCCCACCCCCTGTCGTCATGGCGCCCAAGGACATCATGACCAATTCGCACGCCAAGTCCATTTTGAATGCCATGAACGCCCTAAGAAAGAGCAACACGCTGTGTGACATCACTCTGAGGGTGGAGGGCACAGATTTCCCGGCCCACCGCATTGTGTTGGCTGCTTGCAGTGATTATTTCTGTGCCATGTTCACCAGTGAGGTAACGAACACCCTCTAGATTCACACTCATCACTCATGTTACAAAAATCTGGAGCGGTCTGTTCATTGAATTAAAATACCCTCCATTGGGGTCCTGACATGGCAGCTAGCAGAAATGCTACAAAATTTCCTGTCGTCTCTACTAATCCATATCAATAAAATTGCACATGTAAAACGAACAACAACAACAAAAGTCACGTTGGTGCAATTCTGCTCCTTCACATTAGGAGGTGCAGGTGGTCTCTTAATATTCTCAGATATGTTGAAGCTGGTTCAGTGTTACTAGAGTGAACACGACACATGCATTCAAGCTGGATGCAAACTAATTGATGATAATGTTATAGAATGTAAGAAAACTATTTATATTGCACAATATAGGGATATATAATGGAAATATAATAGTACTAGTGGTCTGTAATAGAGTGCTGCAGTAATGCTGTTTTTTGTTGCCCAGCCTGGAAGTAAACCTTAAGATTTTTCCATTGGCTGTAGATTTATTGCAGAACTTAAGCTCCAACAAAAATTGTATGATTCTTACACATTTTTTTCATCATGATAATCTTCACAAATGAACATCACATTTATGAATTTTGAAGCCTAAATACAACCATCAGAAGTCAAAATCTAAATGTAGACTATAAACAAACTACACCAAGGTCTCATGACTTTAACGTCACCACTATTAGGCTTCCTCTTTCAGTCTTAATTTAGAAAAAACAAATCCCTGAAAGTTTGAGTTAAAATAGTTTAAATTTAAACACAACGAGGCTGTAAAAGTGGACTAGTGAGTAGATGAGGTTACCTGTTCGTCTGACAACAGCCTCTGTAGTTCCATTCAGCCACTTGTTAGCAACCACCTTTTTTTAAAACACGTAAAAGTCAAGTTTAAAGTTGTAGAATAAAATGTGAAAATATTTTGAGCATGTGTTCACCAAATACCTTATTTCAGGCATTTCTCCAAAAACCCATTCAAAAAACCCATTGACTTCAGGACAATGGAACAGGAAGTGTAAAAATGCTAACTCAATTCCGGTTTTTGCCTACAAAAATGGAAGGCTCAGCTCCCTGGAGGCTGAGCTCCCTCCTACTTCAAATCACTACCACAAGTCTACATTCCTACCAGAAGCCTACAATCGGTCAATGAGCGACGGCTCGTGGTACCATCACAGAGAGCCTCAAAACCACTCTATAATGATAATATTATAGCTGTGGTGATAGGAATTCAGTCATTTGTTCTCGCTGTAGCTTTTATTTTGTACTTGCAATCTGAAATGCTGGTTTCAGAAAGCTGGCTTATTTCTTATTGTTCAGTTTTTTGCCAAGACTAGGGAAAACGTGTGACAGCTTTTACCCCAAGTATGAATAAATCCAAGCTTGCATCATGTTTAATCTATAGTCTAAATTGTGATTTAAATGTGAATGTAATATATGTATTTTTTTTTTTTAAATATCAGTCTATTTTTCTGTTACTCCATAGCTTGCTGAAAAAGGGAAGTCCTTTGTGGACATTCAGGGCCTCACAGCGTCCACCATGGAGATCCTGCTGGATTTTGTTTACACAGAGACGGTGCTGGTTACTGTAGAAAATGTTCAAGAGCTGCTGCCCGCCGCCTGTCTCCTGCAGCTTAAAGGTACAAACACACAAACCAGCCCCACTCACATTGCTGTTTCTTTGTGATTGGATTCTAACATTAACAAACCCATTTCAGATTTTAGAGTTGATTGCATTTATAACGTTTATCAATTTTTATATGCGCTGAAAAACAAGTAAAAAACAAGATCAGCACATCTGAATAAAGCACATTATAATCTTTTTTTTTAACCTTTTATGTATATAGAGGGAATGCATTGACGTCACTTTCCCGCCGGAACAACCCCCCTCAGCCTGACTGAGTGGCAAAAGATCTGCTACGTGACTGGATTTAATTGGGGAAACTGCGAAAATGCGAATAAAACGAACTATTTTATCAATTTAAACTAAATGTTGGACTCAATATAATAGTGTTCCTTACAACTTACTAAAGATCCAGTGATCCTTGGATATTGACATGCAGCCAGGAATCGTGTTGCCTGACATTTATGTTTGCCTGATTTCGACACCGGGGAAATAAAAGCAATATAGACCTAAACATAAAGCAAATTTGCCTGTGAACGCTTTATATAAATACAATATAGGTAGGTCTAAATCCGGGTGATCACTTATCAGTGCTATATATAGACTATATATCATCATATCGTCCAGCCCTAAAACCACGTCCACGCTGAAAACAAATACAGCCGCTGAGTCTTTTTGCCACTCGCTGTAAGTAACTGCAGGCACTCCGGTCGACGGTGATGTCACGCGCATTCCCTTTATTTACATGTGATATGTAAAAAAAAAAAAAAAAATCAGCATGTTTTGATTTTTTTTTTTCTGTTATGAGGTAATGAACACCGCGTGCTTGCTGAGATCTGAGCATGATAAGGAGTCACTGAGACTCTAATTATGAAGGAGACAAACACAAGTACAAACCTGCATGAAATCAGGGCGGCAATTATTGCCAGAGACCTGCTATTACAGCTCTGCTGCTGGAAATGGAGATTAGAGAAGAATTTGATTGATCTTTAAGAAGTGTATTCAATCTGTGTCTGTCTTCACTCTCCACAAAAGAAAAACAAAGGGGACGTATGGCCATTTTTATCAAACATTAACAGATGTATCTTAAAGGTGCAGTAAGTAATTTTTGAAAAACGCTGCTGAAAGTGGATCAGACCGAACACCAAAACGCACTTGTCAATCAGCAGTAAGGGCCTTATGGACATGATGATGGAGGAGGAGAGAGTTCTCACTGCACAGACATTAGCAGAACGATTATAGAAATAGTGAGATGGCAGAGAAAACACAAAAGAGAAAGATGGCAGATAATATACAAAAGAGGATGATGAGGAGTCACTGAGCCAGGGGAATATAACTTGGGTTATAATCAGGCAAGAGGTAGGACCCATGTTAATATTGGAGCAGCTGTCCAGCACTGGAGAGACCTTAAGGAGCGGGTAGGCCTGAAAACAGATGCCGAGGTTGCTTTATTTCTTCTCAATACGCGAGTAAACAATGGTTTTGCTGTGTTTCAAAGAACTAAGATATGCTGTCTATTGCTTGAATATACTTGTGTGTGTCATCTTTGTTTGTATGTTCATCTGCATTTTTCTTATAATCCTGGTATGTCTAAACCTCCTCCACCGTCCATTTCAAGCATTATGTAAAGTGTGTCTGAAAAGTGAGATAACACTCCTAATATGTTTTTTCTTTTGGTTCCCATTTTACTGATCGCTATAACTCCTTGATCTTGTCACCGATGTAATATATTAGTAATTTGGACTATCGTGTTATGTAGGAAGCTGTTCATGAAAACTGTGGTGGTTTTTTGGGATGGAAGGGTAGAAAGCGCTTACTGCACCTTTAAGAGAATGCAAACCAATCAGCTGTCATGTTGACCTGGATTTAAACTCGACGGTTGTGCTGAAGAAATATTTATTCTTATTATCAATGATGAAAACAATTGTGGTACTTCAATAATTGTTTTTTTTTAGGATTTTTTAAAGGGATACTCCACTTTATTGGAAATAGGCTCAGTTTACAACTCCCCAGAGTTAAACAGTCGAGTTTTACCGTTTTTTGAATCCATTCAGCCGATTTTCTGATTTTTAGAAGAATATCAGTGACCAGACAGTTTCTGGTTTCATTGAATTCCATAGTATATTCCTACTATGGAAGTCAATGAAACCAGAAACTGTCTGGTTACTGATATTCTTCTAAATATCAGAAAATCAGCTGAGTGGATTCGAAAATGATAAAACCCAACTGTTTAACTCTGGGGGAGTTGTAAAATGAGCCTACTTCCAAAAAAGTGGAGTATTCCTTTAATGAATGGTTATTTTAAAAGAACAGCTCTTATATGAAACAGATTTCCCGTTGTGTCATGTGTAGTCAAACATGCTCGAGTCAAAGATAAGCAAATCACAAAGGAGAACATGCAGGAGAACAGTCAAAACTACACCGCAATTGTGCATTGTCTGAAATAAGGGGAAAACTGTTCAGGCATCCAAAAAAATCTATTCAAACTAAATTATTGAAATCAATCTTTTTCAGAAACATCTTCTAGTTTGACTGTGACAAAACCTAAAAGCTTTTGAAGGTTGAGCTTTTTGTCCTGATATTGAAACGTTAATGTTTGGCACAAAAAAAATGTAGCTTAACACTCAAGTAACACCTGCTCCTGACACTCCCTGCTGTCAGAAATGATGGTGGCAGCATTGGGCTTCTGGGTTACTTTGAGCAGAAGGAATTGGAAATCGCCATCGAGAGCAGTATAACTTGCCAGATCCCTCAGGCGATCTGCATTAGAGACGAAAACCTGTTTCCCAACACACCAATTGCCGATAACAAGAAATGAAAGAAATCAAAGCAGGTTTGTCTGCAACAAATTCAACTGAAGCCATAATACGCGGGAAAAAAATCCCTGTGGTCTTAACTGGAGCGGTCTGTTCGTTGAATTAAAATACACTCCATTGGTGTCCTGACATGGCAGTTATAGCAGAAATGCTACAATATTTTCTGTCGTCTCTACTAATCCATATCAATATTTATATCTGCTTGATGTATTTATTCAGTTTTCCTGTTGAGTGGATGTTATTCTGCTGTAATGCACAAATAAACCAGTCTGATGTTATTTTGTGTGTATGTGTGTGTGTCCTTTAACAGGTGTGAAAAGGGCTTGCTGTGATTTTCTTAATAGTCAGTTGGATCCATCAAACTGCCTGGGAATCAGAGACTTTGCAGAAACACACAACTGTCTGGACTTGATGCAGGCTGCTGAACTGTTCTCACAAAAGCATTTTGCTGAGGTGGTGCAACAGGAAGAGTTTATGCTGCTCAGTCAGAGTGAAGTGGAAAAACTCATCAAGTGTGATGAGATCCAGGTGAGATTGTCTGCTCTCTTTCACTCTGAATGAGTCCCTGCCTTCAAGTGCACCTGGGAAACTCCTTACCTTTGACTTATGCTGCGTTCATGTGCTATGGTAATTATGATAAATACCAAAAGCCAACGTGGAAAATGCACATGAACACCCCCTCATGTGGTATTTACCACTGGGCAACTCGTAGAATATTTTGATGGACGAGTTGCCGAGATGAGATAACCTTTGACCATTTCAAAATGGCGGAGAGCACCGCGAGAGTCGTGAATGGTAAAAAAATATATATACTATTCATGATCTAGAAAATATACAGCATATTATTTACCTTTTGAGTTTTGATAAATCATTTTCTTGGTGTTGCAGATGACTCGAGCAATCTAAAACAGTTTTAACTAAATAACAGATCTGGATCTCCATCTTTTTACCACATTACGACAACAAAAGCACTTGAAGGCAACACACTGGTAAATACCAGTTCACAAGTGGAAAATATCCTATTTTCCATAGCACGTGAACGCAGCATTATTGCGACAGTGCCACAGATTCAAGTCAGAAACATAACATGGGCGAAAGTAGTCTAAACGAAACAAATCAATTATATTGTAAAACAGAAAACAATGACTACATCTGAATAATCATTTCTATAACTTATTTATACATGGTATCTAAATGTGTTACATTAAGCAAAACATGAAAGTTGAGCGATTAAATTTACCATTGTTGTCTATCAGCTGTTCCATACATCACCCCTTTAAATTAAAATAATTAAAATTCAGCCTGTAAAATTAAACTTGCAAAATCATTCTTTACCATTCACTAAAGACTTGATTTCCGCTAACTCATAGAGATATTTAGAGATAATTAATAGAGATAATTTTAAGTTCATCTTGTAAATATGACACTGCTTGGTCATTGAAAGTTGTATACTCCTATATTATACTCGTTTGTTTACATAGCTACATATTAGTCTGCAAACTTTGCACGTAGGAACGGTGGAACCAGTTCAGGCTGCTTCGGAGTCCCACATTTCTCTGCAAATTTGAAATCTTTCTTTTGTGTTTTTGAGACTTTCAGCAAAATTCAGACTTTAAGTAAATACGCAAATGCAGACCTGTAACGCCCCTTTTTTGTCTTGTTTTATGCACACATGGACTCTCATACAAAAACACATACCTTTGTGTTGTTGAATTCTTGTCTCTCACCACGGTCCATTAATTCTGAAGGTGTAATTACAACGTTTGGACTTAAATTTATAGCATTGTGCGGTAGAAGCGACAAGTAAAATTTGTTTCTCAACAATCTGAATGTTATTGTACATGTGTAGGTTGACTCAGAAGAGCCTGTATTCGAGGCAGTTCTGAACTGGGTGAAGCACAACAGAAAAGAAAGAGAGCCGTACCTGTCTGATCTACTGGAGTATGTGCGCATGCCGCTGCTAACGCCACGATACATCACTGATGTCATTGACATAGAGGTTAGCTTCTGCCAAATACACGCTGCCTGTATGAATGTAAAGGATGCTGCAGTTACAAAGATCTTGATGTTCATGGGGTCAATGTCCCCACCTGTGTTTTTATTTTGTGTGCGTTACTGCATGATATTTGTACTTTTGTGTTGAGTGTTTGTATCTGTTTCAGCCATTGATACGCTGCAGTCTGCCATGTCGAGATTTGGTGGACGAAGCAAAGAAGTTTCACCTCCGGCCAGAGTTACGCAGCGAGATGCAGAGTCCTCGAACCCAAGCGAGACTCGGTCTGATGCCTCTGTGTGTTTTCAGTATTTAGGCCTGAAATCCTTCAGTCTAATTAATCCTCTAAATATATCATTCATTATGTCATTTCACTCTTTCGCTAAATCAGTTTGGCATGTCTTAACATGTTTGTGATTTTCTTATGAAGCCACGTACAACTACTTTCTGACACTGGAATGGGTTTTAGGTGCCAAAGAGGTTCTGTTGGTAATCGGTGGATTTGGCAGCCAGCAATCACCCATAGACGTTGTTGAGAAGTATGATCCCAAGACCCGAGAGTGGAGCTTTCTTCCTGTGAGTTATGTTTTACATTGATAAAACATTTCCCCAGTGTCAGTGGACAAAACGGCCGCTGAGGCAAACATCATGTCTGTTTAGAAGAGGAAGTACCGATAAGAAATTATCTCAAAACATCTTTTGTGTTCCAGAACATTGCAAGGAAGCGACGCTATGTTGCTACTGTCGCCCTGAATGATCGTGTTTACGTTATCGGTGGGTATGACGGCCGATCGCGGTTAAGTTCGGTTGAGTGTTTGGACTACACAGCAGATGAAGATGGAGTCTGGTACTCTGTCGCCACAATGAATGTACGCAGAGGTCTTGCAGGAGCTACAACCCTCGGAGGTACCTATTCTATTTAGAGTGCCGAAATTGTGACGTCACTTTGTAGGACAACTCGTAAGCTAGCAGCGCATGGGTTCCCTCGATCGAAAAGCTATGCATTTTCCCCATAGACTTTTGGAAAATCGAAAAAAATAAGATCTGTGTTCAATAAAGAGTTGTGACCCTTACACGTTTTGTCTATCAAGATAATCTTTACAAGTTAAAGGGTTAGTTCACCCAAAAATGAAAATTCTGTCAGTTTTTACTCACCCTTATGTTGTTCCAACCCTGTAAGACCTTAGTTCATCTTCGGAATACAAATTAAGATATTTTTTATTAAATCTGAGAGCTGGATCACTTAAGTGATTGAAACTTGTTCCCAGAAAAGTTATGAAAGACTGTGGGCTTCGAGTGAGTTCACTTATGTAACAGCGCAAGCTTCTGTTGTTGTACGTCAAACACATCACACACATGACCAGCGTTGGCCAATAGTGAGCCTATGTGTGACGTAGATCTATGCTATCACACTACGTTAACTGACTAGAGGCCCACAGAGAAGGAAATGAATAGTTGAAAACAAGTCGTTATTTTTGTTTGTTTTTGCGCTCAAAAAGTATTCTTGTCGCTTGATGAACTTAAGATTGAGTCACTGTTGTCACTTGGACTATTTTAACGATGTCTTTAGTAACTTTTCGTGGCTGGCAAGTTTCAATCCCTTAGAAGACTATGGAGGAGTGATCCAGCTCTCAGATTTAATCAAAAATATCTTAATTTGTATTTCGAGGGTCTTACGGGGATGGAACAACATGAGGGTGAGTAAATACTGACAGAATTTTAATTTTGGGGTGAACTATCCTTTTAATCAAAAATTTATACATTTTGAAGCCTCTATAAAGTTTTTAAAAAACACAAGCAGACACAATAAAGTTTAAAAAAATCACAAGGAGGTTATAACTGGTGTGTGTTATTTCATAGTTCAAAACGTGAAAATATTTAAAGGCTTTGTTCACCACAGACCTTATTTCAGGCGATTTAGCAAAAACCCGTTCAAAAAACCCATAGACTTTTGGGGGAGGGAGCCGGAAGTGCTAAAATGCTAACTCACTTCTGCGTTTTGGCCTACAAAGTGACATTGTAACTTCGGTACTCTATTGGGAAATTACGCTTGTTCTTACACATTCGTAGAGTTCTAGTGGTTTCTTTTGGATCCTGGGTCAAGGTGGGTTGTGTTTATAAAGATTTACAAGTACACAAGCATTGAATGAAGCAGTACAGTTCACATAAGACTGAAACAAAATCTGCCAACCAAACAAGTTCAGTGAGTTTGAATTGTGTGAGTTCCGTGGATGTAGAGCAGGATGATTTTCTTTTTTTAGGCTACATCACCTGAAGCGCTTTTCTTTTGCAAGTCAGTTGAGCAAACCAGCATTGTGTCGATCTGAAAGGTTTTTTTGTTTTAACTAGTCAGCTTAGACTGATGTGTTTTTTTTTCTTTCACAGATATGATCTATGTTGCGGGTGGATTCGATGGTAGTCGACGTCACACCAGCATGGAGCGTTATGACCCCAATATTGACCAGTGGAGCATGTTGGGAGATATGCAGACTGCCAGAGAAGGAGCTGGACTTGTTGTAGCCAGCGGCCTCATTTACTGTTTAGGTAGTGTTTTATTAGTTTTTGAAGGTAAATGAATATGACTGGACATCGGGATGTTTTTTTTTTTTTTTCTAGTTTTCTTGAGCTGAGAAATCCGGAATACAGTTGCTCCTAACTAGCATCGATAATGGCAGAAACTCAAAAGGCTTTGCACAGACATGTTCAGATAGACATGCAGATTTTCAGACTTGGTAAACCTGATGTTGTTGTGGCTTCAGGTGGTTATGATGGTCTGAACATCCTGAATTCTGTAGAGCGGTATGACCCTCACACGGGACACTGGACCAGCGTCACTCCCATGGCCAACAAACGCTCAGGTACACTCGCAGTCTCCTTTTAACACATTAAATATATATATATATATTTTTTTTTAAATATTCTACAACAGATCCTAAAAATATTTGTGAATAGAATAATTTCTATTTCTGCATTTTTTTTTTCTCAACAATTATTGGCAAACCCCCACTGAAGACTACTGTCTGCTATATACAGTGACTGGTTTTATTTATGTTACAGGGGCTGGTGTTGCTTTGCTGAACGATCACATTTATGTTGTCGGAGGGTTTGATGGCACTGCCCACCTGTCTTCCGTAGAAGTGTACAACATCCGGACAGACTATTGGACCACTGTGGCCAATATGAGCACGCCACGCTGCTACGTAGGAGCCACAGTCCTGAGGGGCCGTCTCTATGCCATTGCAGGGTAATATGTCAATATATTACATTGAACCTTTCCCAAATGTGTTTGTGCTGTTGTTAAAATAAATGTATGTCTTAATCATTTGCTTTGATATTGCATCTATGTTCTTTCTGCAGATATGATGGGAACTCGCTTCTCAGCAGCATTGAATGTTATGACCCTGTGATTGACAGCTGGGAAGTGGTGACTTCAATGGCAACACAACGCTGTGATGCAGGAGTTTGTGTTCTTAGAGAAAAATGAGAAGAGAAACTATTCCGCCATAGAGGCGCTTTATAATGACTTCTGGATGCTGGAATCTGTGCTCCACCGCTCAGTGAAGCATCAGATGACATTACCAGCCTTTTTATGACACTTTCCTCTTTTTGGGTTTACGTTTTTTTTTGCCATCTGAGATCTCAGTCCTTGTTTTCTTTTAATGAGGGAGAAAAACACTAACTTTATGATGCAGTGAACATGTGTGTTTCACATTTTTGTTCTCTTCATGCAGAACTCTGTGATCTTTGATTACTTGTGAGATTCACTCAGTTGAGTCCTTTTAAAGTGCAATATAAAAATCTACTGGTGTCAAAATGTCTCAGAGAAGAGACAAGTATGTGTATGCCTTACTGCCCAAGTGACTGAATCCTTCCTGAAGGAGAGAATATTGTCATCAGGATGCGACAGCAGAGGTGCTTTGCGTAATCTGTTTTGATCCTGTCTGTAACGTCCGTTATGACATCGTCATCATTATCTCTGGTTGCTGGGGCTTTTCTAATCGACTCGACCCTTTATCAATGTGCCTGATGCACCAGGGATTTTTCTGTCATGTACAGAACCATCAGCGAGATATCATAAAGCCAGTGTGCTGGTGTTTTGAGTGTGAATCTGAATGCATGAGTGAATTTAGCTGTGCTCTCTCTCAGTGAAAAGTGTCTTGTTAAATTCTGAAAACTGACCTATTAATATGAATGAAGGATGACGTGCATGGTGGATGTTCAGCAGTATATCATTGATGTGGTATGCTGTTTTAATAGTGTGATTCCATGATAAAGACAATAAAGGAAAAGTCTGTTTATCATGTAACAAAACTTAAGCCCGTACGACCGTTTCACATCGTCAGCTTATCTGCAAGATCATTTTAAAATAGAAGAAGCTAGAAATCAATCTCAAGTTCCACTGACTGGTCCATGCTTGCTGAATTTTGCCTAGGTAGCTGCACTCCCTCTGTCAAAATGACAAAAATATTTGAATTATTGTCTGGTGAATTGGCTATTATTTCATGAAACATTTATAGACCCATTGAAATTGTTAGATTTGCAGTTTTCTTTATTGTGCTGACGCACTTCCTACTGAAACACGAAGTTGAGACGAAATGTATTAAATGCTGCCTTCAAGTACACCTGGGAAACTCAAACCTCGTATGTTGGTTATGAAGTCATGCGTTCAAGTCGGAACAACACGGAAGTAGCCATGAAAGAATTATGCTGAACAATAAACCCAAACAACTACATCTGAATTAAAAATTTTAGATTTTATCACATATTTACACATGGTTTTGTTTTAAAATGCAACCCTTGAAAGTTGAGTGATTAACTTTTTTAAAAAAAAAAAAAAAAGAAAAAAGGGCTTGGTTCCAGCTCACTTATCTGTATATTTTGTTATATATTATAGATCAATGTTTTAAATCGACATGCTCCTTTCCAACGTCTCAACTCGAGTATCATCTAGAATTCCGAGTTTCCCACTTGTAAATAAAACTGCTTAGACATTCATGTGCTCAGAAGTCTAATTATGATATTTCTGTCTCTACTTGATGGTCATACTTGTTAGTTACAGGTGGCATTTGGAAGGGGGATGTGCTGATTCTAGAGATTTGATTGGACTAAAGTTTTTATAGTGGCTAACTGCTACATGAGCAAGACTGTATAAACTTTAAACATGTTTATCTGATAAAAGTTGGTTAGCTAGCTTTTATGAGTACGTAGCATAAAAGAGCTGACACACCAGAGCTGATACGCATGGACTAAAAGGCACAGAACCTTAATTTTGTTCATAAAAAAACCTTAAAAGGCATTTTAAAGATTTGTTATTTTATATTAGTTTCCCTGTTTAATAATGCTAAAGAATGTTTGTAAAGAAAAGCTGTCGGAACAAAATAAATCGATTATGCACCTCAGAGGACATTTGCCAACTTTCCAAGGAAACCTCCACTTCTCGTAAAGACGAAACATTTTCATAATTCCGCTCTCCCATAACCAAATTTCTTATCAGAGTTATCAGGAAAATGAAAAGGCTTGTTGTTATTCGTTCTCAAGCACGGTTAGAAAAAAAATGTTGTAACATTTTTAAATCCAAAATGAGTGTTTAGTTACACCAATCATAAGGCGAGGAGGCTGTTGATGTGCTGCTGACCAATCGCGAGCTGCAGCGGGCGGTGTGAGCGTGCACGCGAGTATATAGACTGAACCGCGGACTTTTCGACCCATATTGCTGTGTTGGCCGAGACACGTAACGCGTCTGGTCTGCACTCAACGGAGCTCATAACAGACTTTTGGTGATTTTCCCACCGAAAGACGTTAAAGTTTTCAATTAAAACCACTTGTGTCGACGAAGACTAAGTCAAAATGGTAAGAGATATTCTAGTCACTAAAATATTAATATTTTACAGCTTTAACAAGGGAAAAAGTCTAAATGTTCTTTTTTTTAATTTGTGTTTTATTAAACCGACTCTTTGAAGCATGTTCAAGGAGCAGTTCACTTAAATGTGAGAATTATAATAACCTAATGTGTTTTAAAACCGTGACTTTGGCTCTTCCGTGGACCACAAAACGAGAATTTGGGCAGATTGACAACATAACGTTGCATTCACGTTTTGAAAGATGCGACTTAAACTGTCAGCACTCAAGTAGAAAAAATTATATCGTTACAAGCTTGGAGTATCATGAGGGTGACTTCATTTGAGTGAAAAATCCCTTTAAGACAATGACGCCTCAAGCGTTAACGTAATTTTTGTCACATTATCAACTAACTTTATAAAACGATTAACGTTACGTTACATGCGTCGTTTCTCTTCCGTGTCTTCACTCAGACGTGAAATATTTCTTGGCCTCAATTGAGGAAACGTGGTTATGTATGCGACCGTTGAAAATGAATGTAATCTTTTCCGATCGGAATGTTCGATTAAACCGTATTGGGATATGTAACTCCTAGGCTGCGCATGAGAAATTCCTCGACTCCAAACTGCGGAGGCCTTTCACGCGCGCGGTCTGGTGGAAGCGCGAGGCTGGGGGATGGTAGTCTCCTGACTTTTTTTTCCCTCCCAACTTACTCAGACTTTTGACCCTAAAGCTACTCTTGGAGCGATCGTTCTTTTAAAATGCTGCTACTTGTTTGTGTCGTTGCTTTGATGTTTGGTGCATAATTATTTTCTACTTCCTCTGTTTTGCAATAGTTCAGGTTACGGCTCCTTCCTGTCGACCATTTTACGTTAAAGCGCGAGAGATCGGAGTGCGCGCACTCAGTCATTTTTCTACTGTTAACCTGTATATATGAATAAGTTGAAAATTGGGATGTGGTAATCTTAACAGAAAGGTCTGATTTAAATGTCCATGTGAGAACCCAGAGTTTCTTCTGGGAGAAAATGCACTAAAATTTTCTTTTCTTTACTGCAATTAGAATTCTGTCCACATTTTGTACCAAACTTGTTCTTTTTCCTTCCTTCATGGAACACTAAAAATGAGACATCTGTAAGAATTGACTGCTTAAGTCACCTTTCAATGAATAGAGCTCCTTTCCCTCTCCATATGAATAAAGTGAAAGGTGACTGAAACTGTCCTTTATCTCATTTTGTGTTCCACTGAAGAAAGTCACACCTATGGAGCATTCCTGAACTATCAGTTCAACACTGGTAATGAAATCTAAAGAGATTCGGCAAGTATGTTCACTAGATATTCTTTGGTCTTCAGATCAGACTAAAGGAATTATGCGTTCACTAAAATACAGGAATCTGTCTCGGGTGTTCTCCGGGGTCCCTAGTTCTGTTCAGTCTCACCTTCCAAACCCAGTTAGTGATTGAACTGTAATTATAGTTTCCAGTTCAGCTGCGATAGGAAGTTGGGACTTTAGAGTTTCAGCTTCAATAGGTTCAAGGTAAATATCCCACATTTAATTGACTCAAACTTTTATTCAAATTTTTAACACTGTAGCCTTTATTTAATTACCTGTAATTGGTAAAACTGCCTGTAAAAAAGCAGTCTTATGTAATGGCTTTGGATACACGCACTTAACCGATTTATTTTTCTTTGTGTAGCGTGAGTGCATCTCCATCCATGTGGGCCAGGCCGGAGTACAGATTGGAAATGCATGCTGGGAGTTGTATTGCCTAGAGCATGGCATCCAGCCTGATGGCAATATGCCGAGTGATAAGACCATTGGTCGTGGGGATGACTCCTTCAACACTTTCTTCAGTGAGACTGGCTCTGGGAAGCATGTGCCACGAGCTGTGTTCGTGGATCTGGAGCCTTCAGTCATTGGTAAATTGTTATTGAAAGGGATCAACCATCATAAAAATTCTATCTTGTAGTAAACTAGTTTTATTACCCCTGAAATCTTGAAATGTATGTGTACTTTGGGCAACATCCAGACTGCAAATAGTTAAGCTTAAGTTGGCATGTATTATGATTAAAAATAAATAATTAAATGAAAGAGCTGGATATCAAAAAGACCTGTGTCTTATGTTTCAGATGAGGTAAGGTCTGGGATCTACAAGCAACTGTTTCATCCGGAGCAGCTCATCTCTGGGAAGGAAGATGCAGCAAATAATTACGCCCGAGGCCATTACACTGTCGGCAAGGAGATTATTGATATGGTGCTGGAGCGTGTCCGCAAATTGGTATGAACTATAATTGAGAACTAAGGAACTTAATGCCAATATTACACATTTCAGTCTTTAATTTCTGCAAGTGCATTTGAGTATCACAACATTATATTGTATAACATGAAAATTGTATATTTATTGAGATTGGCTAAAGATTACATTAAACTTACTAAATTAGTGGTTTTAATGAGTACAAGATGTTGGTAAGGCTATTCTGAATGTAAAAAAAAAATGAGGAAATGAGCTTCCACAGTTAAATATAAGAATACTAATTAAAAATATATATAAATATTATATTGCTTGATGACTAGTATGGTATTGATTGTTATGAAAATGGTCACCCTCATGTTTTTCCAAACCTGTATAACTTTCTTCTGGTTACTATTGACTTTCTATACTGTTCGTTTTTTATCAAACAAAATGACATTTCTGTATCTTTTGTTCCACAAAATATAATGGAAACGTCACACCAGTTTTGAAAAACATGAGGGTAAATAAGTAAACGGTCCATATCCCTTTACATAAATGTAATTTAGACAAGTATATCTGATTTACTCATTGTTTTTCTTTCTTTCTCCCCCCACCTTTCCTGATCTAGACTGACCAGTGCACTGGTCTCCAGGGTTTTCTGATTTTCCACAGTTTTGGTGGAGGCACTGGCTCCGGTTTCACGTCCCTCCTGATGGAGCGTCTCTCGGTCGACTACGGCAAGAAGTCCAAGCTCGAGTTTGCCATCTATCCTGCTCCTCAGGTCTCCACTGCTGTGGTTGAGCCTTATAACTCCATCCTAACCACCCACACCACCCTGGAACACTCTGACTGTGCCTTCATGGTAGACAACGAGGCAATCTATGACATCTGTCGCCGAAATCTTGACATCGAGCGCCCCAGCTACACCAACCTCAACCGTCTCATCGGTCAGATCGTGTCCTCCATCACCGCTTCCCTGCGCTTTGATGGGGCCCTGAACGTCGATCTCACTGAGTTCCAGACCAATTTGGTGCCATATCCCAGAATCCACTTCCCCCTAGTCACATACTCTCCCATCATCTCTGCTGAGAAGGCTTACCATGAGCAGCTGTCCGTGTCTGAGATCACCACCGCCTGCTTTGAGCCGTCCAATCAGATGGTGAAGTGTGACCCCCGGCATGGGAAGTACATGGCCTGCTGTATGCTTTATCGTGGTGATGTCGTGCCCAAAGATGTCAATGCCGCTATTGCTAACATTAAGACCAAACGTTCCATCCAGTTTGTGGACTGGTGCCCAACTGGATTCAAGGTGGGAGAAATTGACAAGACATTTAAGTTTACTTAATTCAAACTTCAGTCAAGTTAACCATGTGTCCTCTTTCTCTACAGGTTGGCATTAATTACCAGCCACCTACAGCGGTTCCTGGTGGAGACTTGGCCAAGGTACAAAGAGCAGTGTGCATGCTGAGCAACACCACGGCTATTGCCGAGGCCTGGGCCCGACTGGACCACAAGTTTGATTTGATGTATGCCAAGCGTGCTTTCGTACACTGGTATGTTGGTGAAGGAATGGAAGAGGGAGAGTTCTCTGAGGCCAGAGAGGATCTTGCTGCATTGGAGAAAGATTATGAGGAGGTTGGTGCAGAGTCTGTGGAGGATGAAGAGGAGGGAGAGGAGTATTAAAGACACTTTAAGAGGCCTACGGTTCGAGAAACGAGTCCTACTCCAGCACTTACAAGCAGTATTTTACCTGGCAAGCTGTTTTGTCTCGCACATATGCTGTAAGTGATAAATACCAATTCAGAATAAATTGTTCGGTCTATTTATTTTTGTGTCTTTCTTTTCTTAAAGAGGAATGCATCACTTTATGGTGTACTTCACTTACAAATGAAAATTAGCCTAGGTTTTACTCACCCTCAAGCCATCCTAGGTACATATATGATTTCTTTTTTCTGACAAATAGAATCAGTTATATTTAGAGAAAAAAAAAATCCTGTTTTTTCCAAGTTTAAAATGGCAGTGGCTTGCACAAACAGATGGAAACTCACCAAGAGGTCTGGGGTGTTCACTGAAATGCTGCTCACACAGTAATCGCTGTGAAAGATGCTTTCCTACAGGGTTTATCGTAGCACGGGGGGTGTTGACACCGTAACCTAAAATACTCAAGAACGAAATTTGGACAAATGCTGCAGTCTTAACCATTCTACTTGATCAGAAACGCTCTTAAAACAGGGCTTTAAGTGTAAAATACCAAACTAACCTTTTAAACCCCTGGAGCTGTTTGGAGTTTATTTAGTTACGATGGATGCACATTTTTAAGCTTCAATCTGATGGTTGCAAGCCACTGCCATTATAAAACTTGGAAGAGCCAGGATATTTTTTTTTATATAAATTTAAAAAAATTCTGATTTATAATTAATTTGTTTAAATATCTCTAAAAGAACAAAAAAGCTTTAAAACTGGTTTCATGTGTAACGCCTGAATACAATGCTACTTTGAATGGCAGGCCATTTTTAACAAATGTTAAAGGTTTTTCAAGGATTTGCTCATTTTGTCTTAAGTCGTGTGGACATTTTATTCCCTCCTGCTGAAAAGTAACCCTAAAGCACTAAAATTCTTCATAATTGTAATGGCTGTTTTAATTTGGAGATTTGTCATTTCATTGTTTAGTCAAGCAGTTAATCCACAGTTGGGTTCTGAATGATAGGTGTAACCTGTTCAAATATTTTAATATACAGTTTAATATACACTTTAAGACATTTGAATGCATCATATTTTCTATGTTAAAACAAATATTTATAAAAATGTATAAATAGACAGATGCTCCTGCCTGTACATTTAGGTAGGGCTGATTCTGTGTCTAACGTACTTGCGTTATTCAGCCTGAGGGTGGCGCTATTGACTGACAGACATGCAAAATAAATACATATAGTATTTAATGACTGGATCGACGGGCACACGTAGAATGTTTTGTAGTATTGTCTTAATGTAGTCATTATTGCCTTATGTATTTGTTTTAGAATGTTGCAAATGCAGCAGAACTATAAAAGCTATTCACGTCAACACGTTTAAACTTTAATGAATTTGATATAGGAAGAACAGACATGCCAACTACTTACTGACCTGATGCGAACTAATTGCTGAATCGTCTTGGTCTGAAAATGCATGAAAAAAGCGGGGCAGTCTGAGTGCTGCAGTTCCATTTTTCACCACAGATTTACATTTGAAAATTGTGGGGCGCTGTGGAGGACACGGGGACCATCTGCCCAGTTTCATGAGTTCATGATACATGACCTACCGAAGCCATGCGCTACTTTTTTGATACATCCCGCTTCCTTTACGACTGAAATACGGTAGGCATTCCGTCAATATTTCAACAGAAATTGATGTGCAATGAAAGCATCATGGAGATTGTTATTCTAGGCCAGATTTGAGATGCGGTACTGCTACCTTACTATCACTCTCCTTTATAACAAAATAATACTTTTAAAAAAATGAGCTTTGTGTTAACAAGTGTTAGCCTCTTATGTAGTGGCCTTGTAATTTATGTTATATATTATTTATACTATTATCATATAATAAACAACATTATAAAACATGTCAACGCTAAATTTTACATCGAAGTGCGACACTGTCAGTTAGCTTTACGTCAAAACCATAGACGTCAAACCACATTTTTAAACTTTTTTTTTATTGCTCAAAGGAATATACAAAATACCAACAAACTTCAAGATACATATCTTAAATGATTACAAAGAAGTCCAAATAGCACAAAAAATAAATGAACACCATAAATCTAACAAAAAAACTGAAAAAATTATATACATTATATAAATTATATATATTGAAAAAAAACCTATATATATATATTACACAAAGGCGGAATCATCAAACAAAACCTTCCGAAGATTATATAATTTAAGGGCTTTTTTTGTTATGCACCAGTCTTAAAGCTTTGAAGGACATCATTAAATATTTTAAGGAAGAGTACGAAAGTGGGAAGGCTCTTAAAGAATCTGCATTTGTGTATGAAGTAATTGGCCAACAGCACAATATTGTTCACCAAAAATTCAATATCGTAACTCAAAGAAAAAGACAAATATTTTATAGTTTTAAAATTAAAGTCAGGTATTTCATATTTCAATCTTAACCAATTATAAAGGTCATCCCAGAATTTCTTTGAGAATTGGCATAAATAAAATAAATGTTCCAACGACTCTATGTCCGCTTTCAAACCACAAAAGTAGACCACTAGGTAAAGCGCTTTACTACAACACCCCTCCTCCCCCTTGCATGGCGTCACATTCTCTATACGAAAGTCGTCCAATCAGCATTAACAGCGAGTCTATTTAAAGAAGAAGTCCCAGCCACTATCAGCTGTCACCTGAAGGTATCCATACGCAGAGGTAAACACTGGGGCGGAGCGAAGCAGTTGACGGCTTTGAGCGCATGTTATTGGCAGAAGATGTAAATACGAAGAGCTCCTAAAGTTTCTAAATTAACAGTGAACATTGCGGAAGTGTACGAGTTTTCACGTAACCGTACAAGTCGACGGTGGATTTGAAATTGTAAAACCTTGTTACTCACAACTGTTTGCTTCTACTCTGTTTTGTAACTTACATTGGCGCATGTTAACTTACATCAAATTGTTTTCCTCGAGCATACAAACCGCTGACTAAAATATCTTTTGTTTTTCTTTTAAATAAGTCACATTATAGAATAAAGGGTTCAGAAGTTTATAATATGAACTTTTATTTGAAGGCGAGGTAACTGAAGTAAATAGGTTTACTTTTTCTAGCTTTTCAATGGCACGTTTGGCGTGCAATAATGTCAACGAACACCAACGTATTTCCAGCTTTTGTCGTTACGCGTCAAAAGACAAACCGTTTAAATAATACGACAATTAACGGTAAATATCACGGTTTAATTATTTATTTAAAGTGTTTCTTCAAAGCTAGAAATGAGTGGACACGCTCGCTTCGTCTCTAGATTTTTGAGCGGATGTGGTCTCAGCCTAAGAGCAGTCACGTCACGGTGAGTGTCTGTATGTATGTGCGCGCGTGTGTGTTGATTGTTCGTGTTGTTCAAGTGTTAGCCGGACTAGGGGAGTATCGGACGGACAGACCTTGTTGCGGATCCCAGGAAGTTCTGTCCCCGCTTGCTGAGTGACTCGATTCTGCTCCGGAACCGGACCTGCAGGATGACCCAGCGGGGCCCGGCTGAGTTTACCCCACCGCCCGAGTGCCCGGTATTCGAGCCCAGTTGGGAGGAATTTGCGGACCCGTTTGCCTTTATCAATAAAATCCGACCCATCGCCGAGAAAACGGGGATCTGCAAGGTTCGACCGCCGCCGGTGAGTGCCGTCCGGACGGTCTGAATCGGACCGGTTGATCCGGGCCGGATCTGCGGAGTGATTCTGAGTTCGATTTAAAGGGAAATGTCTAAACATGGCGGCGCAGTGACAGCACTGCCGAACCGCTTTGTGTGTCTATGGGCATCATATCAGTTGAATTTCCGAAGCTCTGCCGGGTCTGTGCTCATCCTGCGGACCCGCTTCACCCGGATTTCTGACCCACGAGCGCAATAACGTTGCTCACTAAACGCAAACGTCGCGGACGTGTGAATATTATACAGTAAAATGGCTCTTTATAGCTGCTGTAAGTGTAATTAGTTTACGGCCTGTCTCGTTATAGTAACGTTACTAGATTAAACGTCACATTTAACGTTACTTTTGCTGATTGTCAGTGATTATCGTTGATATAAAATATCGTTTTATAATATATATTTGTGTATATTGAATTAGTAATCCTGGTATAGTTGCTTCTGCATCTTTGTTGTTGACATTGACGAACAGAGACCCCCATTTGTTACCTCATCATTGAAAGGCTACTAATGAGTTCAGTGTAGTCTACTTTTTAACGAGAATTTAATGTCCTCATACCAGACAGGGAAAAAAATAAAAAGACAAAAAAAAAAAAACCATCAAGAGAAGGAGATACCTGCCAATGCGGAAATAAACTTCCTTTCATTTTCACCTTAGCACACTTAGGCTACTTTAAATGGTCATTAATTGAGTTTAGTATATAATTGTATTGTATTATTGCCTATATTGAACAGATTGTTAAGCATATATTGAATGTATAAATTATTTTCTATTCTGGTCAAAGCAAATCCATTCTGTGACAGAAGTGGTTGTGTGAGGATTAGATTAAGGCAATTAATTAATTACCGTTTATACCCAGCGACTAAATATAGTTTACATATTAGCGAAATGATCTAGTCCAGACCAGCGGGGTTAATCTGAATCCGAACTCCCTGTCTAAACCAGTTTGAAGGGTTTCTGTGGTTCTGGTGGCGTCTTTGTATAGTGAACATTAGACGAGTCCAATGACACGAACATTATAATTTATTAATATCCGAATAAGGTTTTATGTGTCTGTCTGACAACCAGTTTATGTGTTTCATAATATTTAGCCTATTTTCATGTTTATGGACGCTAAAACTATTTTTTGCCTTCATGTTATTTTAAATTCCATTTACTTATGTATTGACAATTCTCGCTCCATCTGGCCATGACGGGCTCTGAATCCAACTAGCTGGTTCTGATACTGGCTTCAGGTTTGATGTGAATTCGGGTTCTTATATTAGATTCGCACTCGCAGCGACGTGACGTGGTTCACGGCACACATGAGGTCGCAGATGGGGGAAAGCGTAATTACGTTTAACAAGAGACGAACGGGTAAAACATGTCAAGCATCATTCTAGTACGATGTCTTGGTATTATTGACTCATTAATAAACCAGAAAGTAATATTTTGCGAAGGTTA